TGTGGACGCGAACCGTATTTTGGCTTCAAGTCTACTCAACAATGCACAATCTGCAGTCCACTATACTTTTCGTCCACTGCACTTTTGTAACGTTTGCTTGGCTTTTTCGTCCAATGCACCTGGTTAGTTATGAGGGACACTATGGCTACGTTGATGTACCTCATCAAATCATCAAATGAAGTTACCAAGAGCCACAAATTATGAACTAAAACACGAACGGTCTTACTTCGAAATTGTTCTTTATCCGATTGAATATATCTACTGCGCTCACACTTACTGATCGCCCATAATTTCTATCAAGATAACCAGTATGCTTTAATGGCTTTATGTATGCCACTTGGTACCGGCGTTTGTTCAGTTCAGTTCAGTTTGACAGCTATGCTCCCAGCAGCCGTGTGCGGGAGATCTAGTTACCGCGACCCACATCGCAAAAATAACAATAAATAACGATGCAAGATAGTGAGGCTAAATGCAAATGGAATGGAAAAAGTAGGTGTGTTAAACTAATTAGAATGGAACGAAAATTAGCAACCAGATGCAGTCAGACAAATGCAGGAACGCTGCTGACTGCGTGACCACACCATGTTGGATACGGTCTCCAACCATTGGTATGAACCATCCCGACGTCGCCATCCAGGAAGACGACACACACCAGCCTGATCAATTCTCCCAGTCCGTTTCTTCATACCTCTGTGGTACGTCGTGGACTGACCACTTCGCGCTTTCGCCTAACTTGGTGCAGCCACGGCGTATAATGCCCGCCGAGGAAGCCGATCAACGGGCTTAAGGAAGACATAGCATAACTAACATAAGCGATTGAGATTCAGTAAACACTCGAGTGAGGCACCAGAAGGTTTCTTGCCAACAACCAACTTGCGGACTTCAGCATTGATCACCCGGTGTTCCCACAAGCACTCGTGCTCAAACACTGCCAAGCGTTTATAATGTCTTCATTGCGAACTGGTCAGATCTCTGATCTACACAGTAGGACCGGTCTTATCGAACCGTTACACACCCCATCTATCACTGACAGGCTGACATCCTGCCGTCTCCGTAGATTGAGTTACTGGAAAACCACACGGGCCTTGCTGATACCCGAAGTAATTGACTCAATGATGTGACCACCAGAGGTGACACAGCTAGCAAGGTAAGTGAACCGATCCACCACTTCCAGTGGCTGTTCGGTGATAGCTTGAACCGGACGTGCAACAGTACTTTGCGCTTTGTAGGTGCAAAGTACATGCCGAAGTGTGCGGCGCTACGCATCAGTCTATCCAGTATTGTTTGCATAGCCACTGCGTCGTCCACACGCTAGGTTTGTCAGTCGGTCGCCTAGCAAAAATTTCACTCCAGAATAGTCTGAAAGAACCTAGTCATTCATGATCATTTCGATCACGAAGTCGAAGAGGAAAAGAGATATAGGACCACCCTGGCGAACCCCACTCGTCATGAGGATCTCAGGAGACAGTGTCCGTAAATCCCTACACGTCCTCGGGAGTCACGGTAGAAAAAATTCAAGTTGAGAATGACATGAGCTGGCACGCTCTTCATGTTAGGCAGTGCCACAAGCTGGCGCGGTCAATGGTCAGCAGCTTTCAAGTCAAGGAAAACCACCATTGTCGGTCGTCCGTATGTGTTTCTGCTCTTAGACTAGGTGATGAGTAAATATATGGTCGCGACAACCACGACCAGAGCGGAAGCCAGCTTGGCTTTTAGTGTTTCGGTTCTCACGGGGACCAGTAATTCTTCGAAAAATGATAACCGTGGGAAGCTTTGAGGCAGTGGAAACAAGGCTAATGCCTTGATGAGTTTCACACAAAGTACGCTGACAGTTCTTGGAAATGGGCACGACAGTCGCCAGTCTGAAGGCACCTCTTCACTGTTCCAACTCGTGTTAAATAGATAAGCAAGTCCAGACAACAAAGAGACACTACCATCTCTCAGCAGATATGTAACAATTTCTTCAGGTCTAGGAGCCTTGTTTCGTTGTAACACGGAAAGCTCATGTCGAATCTCTTCCAAATTGGGAGGTGTGACATCTGCTAACCACCGGCTCAAACGTTTCTGCAAGCAGCAGTGTCACAGAAGCTTTGCTGAATTGCTGTTCAAAACGTTCCGCCCAGCGTGCTACTTGGTGACGTTGAGAATGGATCAACAGTCCACTTGACCTCTTTTCAACACTTGTCTCAATCTGCTAGATAATCTCCTCACGTCCCTGCGATCCAGGAACTAACAACCGTTTTATGCCCGTCATCCGTCACAAAACACACTCTTTTCCACTAACCTTCCTTTATTGTTAGTAATTAAGGAACAAGTTCTGTACTCCTAATAGTACTAATTAGTAAAGCTCTTACTTAAGGATAGATGAGCGTCGCTCCCATTAAGCTGCATCTGTAGTGTAGCTTGGCGATTATTGGACAACGTGAAATATCATCACACCTGTCACCATGCACACAGTACTTGCATTGTTTACATGCACAAATCATTCATTCGTTCATTATACAGGCTAGCTAGAGGTGGTGACACCTCAGCCGTTGTGCTGCAAAACACAATAAAAAATAATGATGTGAAGCAACACAGGCGCGCCAACTGCACCACCAGTAACGGATGGACATTGTTCGGGAGAGCTAGCAGCGGACTATTGTGCCGCAAAAAAGAATTATCTCATGCCTAGGAAGTGAGATTGAACGGGTAGGCTAAGCGGGATGGGAGGGACAAAAGTACTCACAACGCAAACGCCACTGTGGTCTGTTCCTTGCCGTGTCAACAAGTGTATCCGACCTGACGTGTCCATCGTCTTTCGGTTCCTAACCAGAAGTCGGGAGACACCAACCGATGCCAAGTTAAAAATGAGGACCCTCATTCCTTTTGACGATGTCTTCGATAGAGCAGCTCTATCGATAGAGGTCCTCCGTGTAGATATATCCACTCATATGTGAAAGGGTTGGGTTGGGTTCGAAACGTGCTTGTTCACATGCTCTTTTGTAGCTGCACGCTTGCCTCGAAGTTACAGACTTGTAGCCAGTGCCGAAACAGCTTACGCATTCATTGTGATGACTCCGGTTGAGCTGGAGTCTCATTGCACCCGACTTCTATCTCCCCGGAAGAATTACAGATACCGTGTGGTTGGGTTGTGATCTGAGTGCTTAAGTTGGTAAAGAATCCACTGGTAATGGAGGGTTTCGGTGTGGCTCTCCTATTTCAGTGACGCTAGTGGCAGAGGCTGACTTCAAAGTCAACCGAAGCCACAATTGAGATTACGTGTCGCAATCCCAAACACACGGCGCGCGTGCTCCAAAACCCGACAATCGACTCGTAAGTTTCATCTGTGTGACCAACGCCGGTGGGCTCCCGTAATAATACCGGTGAAGGCTTACCACATCTGGGCGAAGGGGATCTATTTCTCGTAAGTATTAACTTCCGACACAGCGCCTGCCCCGCGGGGGTTGGGAGCGGTGTCCGCCAGCCAAGGACGCAACTTGAAAACATCTCGACCAGTTGCGGTCGGGGAGGCTGTGTTCAAAACTGTCGCCCAATTTAGATCACTAGTGTGGACTCCGACTACGAAATTTTATTTGCTAATCAGTGGATTTTTTTGCTGGAGACTCGCGACGACGCTGTGAGGTCAATAACACTAGCCAACTAACGAAGCCAGATGTTCTGAATGTGTATCAAACTACTGTGGCATGCGAATTGATTAAACTCTCACTGAACACTGGAAAATTACTGGTCGTATATTTGCTAGACGGTTTAGCGGCAAATACTTCGTGCGGCGAATCCAGTCAACAACCTAGGCAGTGGGTCCCTGCACAGTTTCCGGAGCCTCTGGATGCTCACCAACGCATTGCGGCTGAAATCGAGCACAACGAGGCTCACAGTAATCTCAGGGCAAACCTGCATGCTATCTTGAAGAGAGCCTTTAGATCTCATCATGCATCGATGCTTGACATAGCGGCTGCTCTTATTAACTACCGGAAATAACTCCATCACCCATTGAAAACGGGCATCATGAGGCATAGTTTTAGCGAGTCCATGTGCAGCAAGAGTAAACAGCTTATTTTCAACTTTTGAAATCGCTTGGGCCTTTTATCTGAATGTTTCGAAAGGCAATTTACTCTTCATGACTTAGTAGCTTTCTTGTCGGTCATTGATCAACTTGATTCCTGAACCATCCATACAGATCTCTTTCGCTCTTTCGCAAAGAAGTCCAGGTTCTCAAATGCACAGTTCTGATGACGGCATTCATATGTCTTTAAACACTAGATATGCGATCCGCAACAATGAGACAATGACAATGGTCACGATCCCAAAGTTTACTACAGGAATCAGAGAACTTTTTTGTAGTCCTCTGTTCAAAGATTTGGAACAAACTTCCGAGAGATATCAGAACAGGTTGCACACTGCGTAATTTGATGCCTATGATTAGTGAGCAGTTAACCGTCCCAAACGTGGTTCGCATATTCGGGACATCACAATCCCTAGGCAGTGCTTTCCAGAACAGTGTGGATGGCTCCTGACTTAATTACAGACAACATATGAGTTCGGGAGTAATCAATGCATGCGTATAACTTTTTGGACCACAGCCCCTTTCACTTCATTTTTCTTTCTGGCCTGAACACCATTTGTGTGTTTGTGAAAAACCCTTGTTCATCAACCAATCGAAAAAAACCAGCAAAACGCTTCGGATTACCTTGTGTTACCTGAACTTGAGATTTGTGCTCATACCTTGTTAAATTATTTATGCAATAGCATGAAAAGGTTGCAAGAGTTTTCCTCTATTCCTTCTAGGGAACAGCTTCTCGCATCGTCGAGGAGTATACACTTTATTTCATTCATTTGTTTATTTCGTGACCATTGTTATTTCTTGTTCTCTTGGCGACACGATCCGTAGCAACCCGATCCACTGCACTTGCGTGCTCGGATCGTAATTGTATAACTGCATAGCTCGTTCGTTTGTTTCATTGCTTACATCCCAACGCTCCACTCCACTGATGCTTCAGGCGCGCATACATCATCCAATGAGGCTCCTGTTCGAATATTCGCAAAACTTCGTGACACGGCTACTGAATCTGGGGTGAGTGTCTACCCGTTCGCCTACATTCGCTTTTACACCACATTTCCCCATTGAATGTGCAGAAATCGTTTTTGGACCATGCATAGTTACACATTTACAGAAGGAACGCTAGTCTGTTTGCACCCTAACCACCTTTACCACAATCGAAGCTTCGGCCACTTTTAGGGCGACTACGTGTAAGGTTGCTGGTTATGGAACGGTTTACGGTGCAGCGGAGCAGTTTGTGTTACTCTGTGGATCGGAGCCGTGGCCGTTACTTGCTGAGGACTTTGGGTGACTGATGGGCTTTGACCACCAGTGCTTCCGAATTGTTGCTCATGTCTAGTGGACATAATGGTTTGGTAGCATGGATGTTTGTCGTCCACTTTATCAATAGGCCCTCCGGTGCCTAATTGGAGCAGCTAATTCTACTCCACTGGCTTGATCCTGCGCTCAGCATGTCTTCCAGCTGGCTGCCTGCGGTCGGTGAGTTCCTAGGTGACCAATTCCTGGCTTGGAAGAGAGCGTGAGAAAAGTCGCTTTATGAGGTCGCGTTGGAGCTCAGCGTTTTCCAGTGTAGTGTCTTGCGGACGGGCCACATCATTCACTAAATGCGTTATCTGATACAGCGTGATCACGTAGTCCGTGGTGGTCTTACACTCGCTCCGTCATTTGCACCCTTGCCTATCCCATCTGTGTTATGGGGACCCAACGTCCCCATAACGCGAATCGCGGATCTCTGTGGCATAGTCTTGCTGGTATCAGCCGTGAACCACTAGGCTCTGCTTTCCACCCCAGCTCAGGCTATCTCGACCCGATGAGTCCAAACCAGGACGAAACCGCGGTCGTGGGGTGCCAGTGTTGGGGTGAGCAACACCAAAATATTTCCATTTCACATACGGAATGACCGAGGTCCACCTCAAGTGAACCGAGGTCTCAATAGAGGTTGCTTGTAGCAACCCAACCACACAACGGATTCTCCAAGTCCAACTTTGAGGTTTGTCGACATCTTCAAGAGGGCACTCTTGGAATCTCGTGGGGAGGGGACCGTGGATAAATGCCTTCAAGCGTTTTTCCTCCCTTACCGGTCCACACCAAATCCAGCCGCTCCAGGATGCCAGTCTCCGGCTGAGGCATTGATGGGCCGCAAGCTACGCACCACTAACGAAGCGCTCATCCCGACCGAAAAGTCACCAAGTCAATCTGCTGTCTGCCCCGGTATACGCTCGCGACTATCGAGCAGATCATCCACGCTGGATCAAAGCAACAGTGACGGCCCATCGTGGTACTATGCTACATGATGTCGCTGTGGGAGACGACACTTGGGTTCGCCACCCAAACCAACTTCGACCGCGACGCGGAGCGCTCAATGAACAATCCAAGTCGGGTACAGGAATACCGCTGCACGTACTTTTGGATACTTTCGGAATCGCTGCGCAACAACTGGAGCCTATGGAAGTCGCACAGCCGACGACAAACCCAAGCGGTCTTCACCGCAGGTCCGAGCACATCCGTCGAAGGACTGAAAGACTGCAGATCGATCCGCAACTAAAACGGTATGTTCAAACCTGAACGGGGTGTTATGGGGACCTAACGTCCTAAATGATTATAAGCTTGAAGCACGGAAGGCAATGAAACTCGATTCAGACAAGTGCACATGTTTCGATCCGCCTTCCACCTTTTGTTACATTCATGTTTACCTCAGAAAACATTCCTGTTTCCGGCCAACCTCCGCAATCATAAAACATTCAGCCTTTTTTACCTAAGAAACATTAAGTTTTCCAGGCCAGCCTCCGCAACTACCAACTTTCACTTTTCAACATGTTCCGTTAGCATATTTGCATAGTGCCAATTCAGTTGCTTCCAGGATTTGCTTACACAAACCATTGGCGCCATCGAGGCATAAAGAAAATGCTGGACTTCGCTGTAATCGCCTTGAGCCTGGCCAGTAAAAGTGCCTACGCGAAACACCTGTCTTTTTGTCTTGTTCTCTGCGGTTTGGGTAGCTGCGTTTGAACTTGCGTTCGGTCTAGGAGCCCGTTCAACTCGCGAGTAGTAACCGTGCTGCACCTAAGTCTCACGGATCGCACAACTTCGAATTTTGTCGGTTACTTTGTCGTGCGTGAAATAGTTCCAAACCACCTTTGTTCGGCCGGCTGGAAGAGTTGATACCAAATCGTCAGAGCGGTACGTAACCAAGAGGCAGTTTTAACAATGCGATAATCTAAACTTCCGTTTATTATTCCCGATCTATTATCAATGTCGTCTTTATTATCATTATTCTGGCAACCCAAGCCTTATTTCTGCACGCGGTTCACTTTGCTCCGTTATGCGACCAGCAAGGTAACACAGCTACTCTGATAAGTAATCCGATCGACTTCCGAGCGGTTGGTGCAACCCGCCAAATAGTCTCAACTTAATTTCGAATTGCACCTGGTATGTGAGACTAGTGTAACAGGTGCTTGATAGAGTCGGGTTCATTGCGCTATGCAAAAGCATTCTTGGCCACTTACCCTTTTAGCTTAAGGCATCCGACTATTTGAATGGGTTCTGGGACTTCGATTTGTCTGATTAAGACACAGAAGTTGGTCCCACCGGAATGTTAGAGTTGCTAACGTTGGGACGACATTTTACGAACCTTTTGAGAAGGAACATGACGTGTCGGTTGACGGCGAGGGCCAGCTAGATAGAGAAGGCCAATGTCATTGGACACCCAGACTCGTAGACTACCCGTATGAAGCTAAGTAGCTGGAGCAGACCGACAACCTTTTGTTTTCCGTGCTATTTTCTATTCTACTGGGCCGAGTCCGCCCAGTATATCAGCATTTTTAGCTACGTTGTCCTATACTAGCTGATATTGCTGAAACGTAAGGAGGCATCTGTTCTAAATGACCTCACCTGTGACCACTTGTCTTCTACCTTATAATTCGCAAATCGGCGGTTTGTGCATGCTGTTTTCACTCCCTTCCTCTGTCACCTTGGATTGCATCTCATCTTTGTTTAACATTATCCTTTCTTTTTACCAATTGTTTCAGTTTAAACGAACCAGCATTTTCACGCCTCGATCTCACCTACTTGTCGCCGAGGCACATTATCTCACTAATCACTTCACTTTCCCCTTGAATTGTTTAGGATGGCTTCGATGCACCCGGAATGGCACCCAACGATGCCGTCAATCCGCCTCCCACCGATTCCTCTGGCAGTGCTTATGGCGAGTTGAACACAGAATCGGCGCACAGGCTGTTCCCGGAACTCGCTCTCATTCCTCGCGTAACGTAAGTCTCTCCTATGGTCGTTCTACCGTTCTGATTGTTGTTGCAGAGCGACCCGAGTTAGCTGATTTCCCACAAGCTCCTAACAGATGCACCGCTGTATCCTAGTTTACGCGATACTGTCCGACTAGACTGTATTGACGAAAGTGAACTCCGGAAATGTGAACGCCATAGAACACAGGCAACAACTACTACTACTACTAACTACTGCTATTACTATTGTTCTGTTCGGTTACACAAACACATGTTTCATGGATCTGTGGGGACATTCCCATTATGTACACGCCTTCCTGTAGTCAGTGGCTCACTTCACTCGGGTTGTTCGCTATTTGATGCGCAGTTATAAAGTTCGAACACATTTCCATGGCACTGTTTGGCTTTGTGTTTTCCGGACCCTGGACTTTCTTCTCTGGTTATATCAGCTTCAACCATAACACTCTTTGAATGTAACTTCTTTTCGCATGCATCGCTTTGACACCGATTCTCCACGCCTTAGGAGTTTGGGCATCTGGCTTGTTGCCACTGCACCCTGAGTTCCAGTCCCAGCTCTTGCACTGGGTTCGAACACTGTCGTAACATCCCAAGCTGCGCCCAACCACTTGCGATTTCACGGCAGCGAAACACAGTTCTTATCTCTTGTGTACTGATACTGGTATCAGTTTACATTGGCATGTTGCTAAATCTATTCCCTTGGTTTCGATTGCAACTCGAAGGCACCATCCTCCAGCGGGATTTGGGTCAGCATACGTCGCTAACGCTCGTCCGTCTTTTGCCTTCTCATACTCTCGGGGCTTTTCACACTGAGTGATAGGGGACACTGATTTCTCTTTGGTCGTACACATCACTATAGATGTCTTCGGAACTGTCGGTGTGTGCTCCAGGACTCTCAACTGCTTCCTTGTCTAAATTATGTATGCTGACATCCCTAATTCCTGTCTCCTCAGTAGTCAAACTTGCTCTCAACTGTTTGCAAGTCTCCGCGATTGACCGTATCCGCTTACTTTCGACTATCTGTTCGACAAGTTAGGTGAATTGTGTAAACTGCGCCGTTTTGCTCTTCTTTATTGGTTTAACACTCGTTCTTCTTTCTTCTTCATTTTATACACTTAGGATTCTCTACATGAATTTTATGCTCGTCAACTGCGACTCACCGATTCGCATCTCCGCTTTTGGTGCTGAAGATGGCTGGATTGGTGTATTTCAAACAAATATGACTGATCGGGGTGAGTATGTCTGATCTTACATAACTGCATAACTGAATAATCATCTAACTTGGCTGTGCGAGCTAAGATCATTTGTACACAAGATTGTGTGAGTACATTGATGATGCGCGGCACAGTAGCTGAAGTGTTTTCCACCTCTAGCTAACGTGTATAATGATGTTGATGATGCTCCTTTCTAGCTGCACGGTAGAGTCTGCGTACATATTTTCGGTTTTCCGAAAATTTCGCGTTTCTTTCTCGGTTTGTCCGTAATTGCGTTCCGCTAGTAACATGAGCTATAATCTTCGTAGTTCCATCAGGAAATTCGTGGGCTATGACTGCTCCCACTCCACTACTTGACGCGCCAGTTGTCAGTGTGATCGGAAGCTTTGGACCAAAATACGTCAGCAGACCAGATTTCAAGCATTTTGTTCGCTTGCCCAAAAGCACTGTAACATTCGTTTGACCGCGCCCATCTACATCCCTTTGTAAGCAACCGATCCAAAATTTCGTTCATTCGGTGCATACTTGGCAAGAACGCGCTATATTGTCTGATAAATCCGAGGAATGACTTAAGTTCAGCAACATTTGAAGGTGGGGCATTTTTATTGGCTCAATGCCGGGCTGAGTCTGCGGCCATGTTTATCAATTATGAAACCAATCTGCTTTATTGAATTCAAAAACTCACTTTTTCGGAAACCAAATTCAAGTATTTGCTGCAAGATAGTATCTATACGGATGGACCGTTCTAATCTCGTTCGTCCGATATTTATGCTATCATCGAGGTGGGCATCCGCTCCTTCCAATCCGCTAAGTATGGTGTCAATAATTTGTTGAAAGGTTGCTATTGTCGTCTTTACTCCACAGTACGCTAGTGTATTGAAACAGACCACGATGGATGTTGATAGTCCGCATATTCCTGGATTCATTTGAAACCTTAACTTGTAGGTAAGTATCCGATAGGTCCATTTAAACGAAACACTTGTCACCGTTCATTTTCGCAAGTATGTGCTCCGGCAATGGTAGAGAGTAATTATGATCGTCGTCAGTCATGCAAAATAGTCGGCACGAATTCGGACAATCCCATTGGAATCCTTTTATCACGACGACTGGCGCAGCCCAAGAAGAATAGTTTACCGGCTTCAGGACTCCGATTTCTTCTAGGCGCTTAAGTTCAGAGTCAAGCATTAGTGAAGCTACGTGTGGGACTGGTCTTGTTGGCCTGAACATTGGTTTGACATTCGGGTGCAAATGTAACATTGCTTTTACTTTAGAACAGCATCCAAGGATATCCGCAGAAACCATACTGAATTTATTCATGAGGCCCAAAATATCTCCATTTTTATTTTAGGCGAATCCGACACTCAGGATCTGTGCAGGTATTGATGGGAATGTCGGGAAGTTCCAGATAATAAATCCTGTCAATACCAAAATGGTTGAGTTCACAAACAACTATGTAAACTGTGCGGTGATCGCTTTTGCCTTCAACTTTCAGCTCACAGTCAAATTCGCCAATATATTTGTTTTGCCAGCTTCGTTCCACTCAACCAGCAACGAAAACATGTTCGATGCCCAACATAGCGAGCAAGAATTATATGTAGCAAGGATATGGCACTGGATGAGCTAAACTTTGTACGAAGCCTATTCGAGAGAAATGACTATCCGGAGAAGTTTGTTTGGAGAAATATGGAGCCTCGCGAAGCAATGGCATAAGTTGTTTCATTAGTAAAGAGACCGTTATCCGTTCAAAGGGGACGGGACAATTGAATCTACGTCTAGACGGCACTCTAAGGTCATGGCTCAAACCTACTACTACGCAACAAGCTTACGTCTAATCTGCAACTCAGTGTAGGCCCTGAATCCACGACTTCAGGACGGAATCGCAAAGTGAAGTACTTCTTCCTGTGTGCACGCTTTCTGTTGCTCAAATCGACGAAGATATATCGGGAGAACCACCAGAAGACATCCGAGACAAGTGGGGAGCACTATCTAGCTTAGCTGTATAGCGGCGGGACTAGATCAGTGGCTAGGTCAGTGTCTGTGCACCTTGTCTATTCGAACCACTAGGTCAAAGCGTATGAGTCGTTATAGCCTATCTACCGTTTACCCAGATGCCACACACGAGTGGTTAGATATCGTCTACTAGCAGCGTCCGAAGCGATCACCACTTATGGGGCCGTGTACCGTCCGTCGGTAAATATACAAATTTATTTATTTATTTATTTATGTCCCTGACTTATGTGCGCATATAAAATTTGTCCACCTACTCACTTTACCCTGGTCCGCTGTAACATTGACACCCGGTATGGGCAACCCCACGCACAAACACACTTTTGCGTGGGACCAGTCATCTAGCTTGGTCACTCAGACTTTCTGGGCTTTTGACACTATATTCGTATCTGATGTCTACTTTCATGCCATTTATTTGTGGTGTATTAGCCTAACCAGGGACCACTGAAAACGAGTTTGTTCCTTACCTTTTGTTTCCAATATCTACAGCTAGAATATTTTGTCAATTTATAGAAGCATAGAGTTGTATGCACTAAAGCGTCGAACGAATGAATCCTTGTCTAGTATTCATTGACAGAATGTCCGTACACATTTTTTCCTCATGCATTTTTACCCTCCATATGCCATAACAATCGCATTATAAAAATAACCTGGCGGTGGTTACCTTATCATTGTACATCTTTTGGCGACCATATTTAGCGAAATTGACCGAGAAACTTGATCATGCTGGTGCATGCAGTCTTCGTAGATGACAGCCCTAGGGTCAGTTGTTGTGGAGTTCTCCGAGCTGGGCAACTTGGTTGCAGACGTTTTGCCACCATTCGAGGTGGCATCTTCAGTGCGGGATTGATAGCAGTGAAGTAGCAGTAGCTGGTAGAAAGCAAACCCAATAATGGATCCATTATTGGGTTTGCTTTCTACCAGCTACTGCTACTTCACTGCTATTAATCCCGCACTGAAGATGCCACCTCGAATGGTGGCGAAACGTCTGCAACCAAGTTGCCCAGCTCGGAGAACTCCACAACAACTGAGCAAGCCTCCCGAGCTACCAATATTCCAATTCATTTCGAGCCCTAGGGTGGTCCACACCCGTAGTTGGAGACCGCATCAGACATGGCGCAGTCGCGCAGTTAGAGACGTTCCTCCATTCGTTTTCTTCCATCTGGTTGTTGATTTTCGTCCCATCCTGATTAATTTAATGCACTTCCTTTGATTCCATTTTCTTTACATTCTATTTCCGGTCAACCTCATTTTCTTGCCGTTGTTGCTTATTGTTCTTCTGGTGACATGAGTCGTGGCAGCTGGATTCACTGCACTTCAGTACGCGGATCATATTGACCAAAAGAAAGCGCACACGAAGGAACCGTACACAAAAATTGCGGACAGCAAAAAGCGTACAGCCATACAAGCGTACTCGGAAAATTGCCGACACGGAAGATTGCGCATACTAAAAGTGAACGCATTTTCGCAAGCTGTTCACATGGTCACATGTGCCCGTATTATTTATGTACTTTGCTTAATACTCACGTAAGGAATTCACGACGCATAAAACGATCTACTGGACATATTGCTAGTAGTGACTACAGCACAGTATGACATCTTCGGGATCGGAATATGCGTCACACCACAGCCGCTCATACAGCGTTGCATCCGGGGTGGGGTGGGGAATTATTGGTCATATCTCCAACACTTGTTTCGAGCTGTAGTTTTCCTCTCCACCAATGCGCCCTTTGCAGTTTAACAATTCCAACCATCACGGTATAATCCACCTTATCCCGTAACATAAACACAGTACCAGTGGCTTTAAGAATACAGACAAACCTTGACTCATATTGATGGTGCAAACATTATTAACAAGGTTCCACAGAATTGTATATCTCGGAATAATATTACAGCCACACGAATGGGCAACTATGACCACGCATCCGTACCTAAACGAGTGTGAATCATGACTAACAGCTCCCGTTCTCGGTTCTACTTGTTACTTTGACCCGCATGTGGACCACCACAAGATGCCTGCGCTTAATGAGATATGGACTACGATTGTTGTACTGTTGCCTATGGAGTACTCCATGAATCAGAAGGGCAACTTAGTTTTGATATACTTGGGTTTTGAATGCCTGGTTTTCCACACTGGCAAAAGTGTGGTAACTTGAGGATGCAGGCAAATCCGAGGTATGAAGTGTCACCGACTGATGAAGACACGAGATGGCATCATCTTCCAACAGCCGACTGTGCAGTGGCATGACTCATGTCCTCAAAAAGCGGAAGCCAATGCTGCAGGAAGCCAAATGAAACTGGACATGAGGGCAGTCAGTGCTACACCTCGCAACGTTATAGGAAATGTGTTGTCTGCACTGAGTAGTGATGCTTTGGCCCACTTGCCCAAACAATCATCCATTGCAAGAACTCTTCTGAGTCACCGAAAAAGCAGTCATTTGCCTTGTCCACCTGGCACAAATTTTTCCACTCCTGTTCAGTACTCCGAACTTATTCTACATGATTCGGGTGTGGATGATCCAGAAAGGATTCTCCTGTTAGGTGCTGTATACGTGGCACGCCAACATAGGCAAGAGTTATCCCGCTTACCTTTGCATCCTGTTGCAGACCTATACAAGAATGTTTGCAATAATGAAACTACTGTTACCGGATATATGCCAACAAAGTTGTTGGTCGCTTTTGAGGAAACGCTGCATGATTCGCATTTCCAGGTGCAGTAATTAAAGGATGCTAGTTTCACCTGCGCCAGAGTATCATCACAAAAGTCGGCCTAAAGAAGAATGCTCTTGAAATGGATGTCAAAATTCAACTACACGTGAAATCGCTGGCTGCACTTTCCTTAGTCCCGGTCGCTGAAGTGAGAGTTTTGATGAGCTTGATATCACATTTCCAAATGAAGTGTCATATAATGCGGTGCTCAATTATTTCTTCTCTCCTTATATTGAAGGGGCAGAAGGCCGAGAACCGCAGTACCCACTGCAAATGTGGAATCATCACGATGCCGCCCTTGATAGGTCACCAGAAA